TGCGGCGCTGTGACTCGGTTCGCGCCGCCGCCCCTTGCTGAGCGCCGGGCGCGCTATTGATGCTTCGAGCCCCGATGGCGGCTGTCCCGACGTGAGCAGCGGTGCGATCGAGAGAAAAACACTGATCTCGAGGCTGTTCATTGGCGCCTGGGGCGCCTCAAAGACCTCGTCTACCTTTTAGAAGTTGTGGGAGGGGATGAGGACGGTGAGGGCGGCTGGGGCAGCCGGGAAGGCAACACAGGCGAGGCGCGGCGCACCTCAAACTCGAGCGAGTAGCGGGAATATAACCCCGCTGCTCCGGCGGGATAGTGCTCCCCCGCCGCCCCCTGGGTCACCCCGAGTGACCTCGCAGCCCACGCCGTGAGGCGCTGCTGTCAGAGGGGTTTATCACCGCCGTATCCACCCCACACTGGCCGCCGAGGGGCCCGGCGGGCTGAGGCGCGCGAGGCGGCTTTCGCTCCCGCGGGGCGGCTCTACCCGTCTCAGCACGGCGTCCCGAGGTGTAGCCGTGTACCTGGCGGCAGGGCCATCACTCACGCGCCTACTCGCGGCACGAGGGAAGGCGTGACGCGACCGCGAGAGGCGAGATGGCTGATGGCGAGACAGTCGTTTGGCCCGTTTGAGGCTGAAAGGATGACCGCGGACGATGAGGGCGACGATTCATCGCGGCTACTGAGCAGGCAAGGTCCGGACCTACAGGATGGAGGGGCGAGTAGTGAGACTCGGGACCATATCTTCGCGTCGAGAGACGAAAATCCGGATTCTTGGCCGCCGGCCGCCGCCGGCCGCCGAGCGGACACTAGGGAACTGCGCGACGACGACGACATTTGAGAGGTGCTGCTTTCACCACCGCCCTTCTGGTGGTGTTTGCCGGTCGGGGGGGCGTCGGCAGCGCCGCCGATCCGCGCGGATGTTGCAAACGGTGGCTCGGGGCACCTATTTCGGCAGCCCCGGGGCGGGAGCCGAGGAGGGGCAGCCGTTGCGGTTGCGCCATCGCAGCTCGGCGGCGCGTGGGGAGCCGAGCGGCTTCCAGCGATCCCGCGAGACAGCGGCCCGCATCCGTCCCGGATGCCGCGCCCACGCTGCCCGACGCAAGCGCCAGATGGGAGAGGAGGTTGGCAGCCTTTCTGCGCTTCGAGGTGCAAGAGAACTCTTGCGATTTAGCGGGAGGAAGCCAGGCGGGGTTTAGCCCAATGTGGGCACGGTGACGCGGGCGAGCGGGCAGTCGGCGAAGGCGTCCACGTCGATGGAGGTGAGGCCGGCAGGGAAGGTGACGCGGGCGAGGGCGGAGCAGCGGTCGAAGGCGAAGCCGCCGGATGGAGGTGGGGGTGGCGGGGAAGGTGAGGGTGGTGTGAGGGCGGAGCAGCGCAAGAAGGCGTGGCTGCCGATGGAGGTGAGTGAGGCTGGCAGGAAGGTCGACGGAGACCAGCGAGAAGCAGCCTTCGAAGGCGCTGCTGCCGATGGAGACGAGAGGGGTGCGGTTGAACAACGCCCAAGCCGGCAGGTGCGTCATGCCTTCGGGCAGCACCGCGTGCCCATCGGTGACGACGACCTGCCAGCCGCCCACGTCCAAAGAAAGTCTCGGAGCGTTGGTGTCGTTGTGTGAGTGAGTGAGCCCCCCTCTACGCCGTGGAAGGAGGCTCTCTGTACACACAACAGGAGGCCCCATCGTCCCCTGGCCACAGAGGAGCCCGAACCGGCATGCACATTTCTTCTCCCCCTTCCTATCCGTGCTTTAGCCCCGGGCCCGGCCGGCCGGGCCCCGGGCGGCGCGCGCGCGCGCGCCGGGGGGGGGGGGGGGGGGGTTCCACTCCCGGGTACGCCCCGATGTTGTTCGCCTCCATCATCGCATCACTGTCTCTGCGACACGGCAGGTTGCCGCCGCCTAAGCTGTGCGCGTCCAGCGCAGACAAAACACAGGCAGCGGCGATCGAGCTGCGTGCGGCGCGGGCTGCTGCGGCCGACGCGGCCAACGCAGAGGCGCGGCTGAGGAGCATGGTGGCGGCGGCGCACAAGAGCGGGGAAGAGCTCGCGGCGGAGCGCGACGCGGCGCGCGCGGAGCTGAGCCGGGCGCGGGAGGACCTCGCATCGGAACGGGAGGAGGCTGCAGCTGCGCGAGCGCTGGCTGCAGCCGACATCGAGGCGCTGCACTGCCAACTTGACGACCTGGAGCGCTTAGTCGCGGCGCACGACGCGGCCGCTCCGCCCGAGAGCGGCGGGGCGGCGGAGGCCGAGCTGCGCGTCCGCATCACGGCCCTCGAGGCCGAGCTGCTAGCTGAGCGGCGCACGGCGGCATTCGCGACGGACGCGGCGGCGGAGGCGCGCGCTGATTGCGGCGCATGGGAGTGGCTTGGGAGCGTGTTTGCACCGCCTTTTGCCTCACTGTACTCTCCTCCCCGCAAGGCGCGCGCCGAGCTCGAGCTGGCGCAGCAAGAGGCAAGCAGGGATGCGGAGTTGGCCGAGGACGCGCGCGCAGAGGCAGCGCAGCTCCGCGCCCTCGGGGAGAGTGCTCGTCCGGGCGGCGGCGCGGGCGAGGCGCGGGCGGCGGTCCTCGAGGCGCAAGTGGCCGCGCTCTTGGTCGAGCTGAGTCAGCAGGAAGAGGCCGCGGCAGAGCTTCTGACGCTCCGGCCACAGGCCGAGTCGTTCCGCGCAAAGGCGGAGGCGTATGAGCGGCGATTGCGGGAGGCAGGTCTAGAGCTCCCGGCGCCTTCGCCCGGGGATCGAATGAACATAAAGACATAAACAAAACTCTGTTCGAGGCGCGGGACGCAATAAAAAACGGCCCACACACACGACGTACGGCCGCGGCCACTTGTGAGCCGTCAAGCTCGACGCTCACGTCAGGAGGGGCAGCCCCTCTTGAAGTCAAACTTGACGGGCGCTCCGAGCTGATTGTCTTCGATGAGCTTGTTGAGGCCGTCGAGCAGCCTCCAGTCCTCGCAGCGGATGTCGGGTAGCTCGCCGTCGAGGTAGCTGAAGGCGCCCGCGAACTCGGCGGGCGTCGCCTTGATCGGCGACGCAAAGTGCGCCGTCAGCACGCGGTCGAAAGGCCACTCGGCGATCGAGGCGACCCAGCTGCGCACCTCCGCCGGCGCGCGCGCGTCGGCGAAGGCGCGGAGGATGGGCGCGCGAAGCAGCCGGCCCTGCACGGCGCCATAGCCGGGCCAGCGCGCCGCCGGCTGCGAGCGCGGCGCGGCGCCGTCCTCGCGCAGCGGCAAAAAGACGGCTTGGATCACCGACTTTGCCCAAAAGTCGGGGTCGGCCGCGTCGGACGGCGCGAAGTACGTCGAGAAGATCGGCGGCGGCTGGGCGGGCACAAAGACGACGGCGTCTGTCGTGACGAGCGTCCTCGTCGGCTTGTGCAAGAAGGCCGTCTCCGCCACCGGGCCCGCATTCTCTGGGAGGTCGACGTACAGCGTGCGCATGTCAAACTCATCTGCCCAATGCGGCAGCGCGTCGCCCGCCTTTGGCGCGCCGACCGGGAAGACGCCGTCCACGCGGTAGCCCATCTTGGCGCTGGACGCGGTGAGGCCCACCGTGCCAAACGGGCCGTACTGGCCCGGCGCAACCCACACGCTGGCCTCCGGGTACCGTTTCGTAAACGCCTTGATCGGCGCCTTGTGCTCGAGCGCAACGCACGGCAGCACCACATGCCTGACCGGGCCGAGCTCGTCGAGCAGCTTGCAGAACTCGCCCGTCGGCCACTGCGGCCCGTTGACCCACAGAGAGCCGTCCTTGAGCCGGATCACGATGGTGCGCACCGTGGCGCTGACGTTGGCAAAGGTGAGCAGTTGCTCGAGGGCCCACGCGTCGCGCCCTAGCTCGTAGCGATAGGTGGCGCGCTCGAACAAGGGCGGCGTCAGAGGCGGGAAGTACTGCCGGCCCGCCTCTGCAGCCGTGACCGCAGCCTCTGGCCGATATCCGTCCAGCACTGGCACCGCCGTGGCGGGACGCGCTGCTACTACCGGCACGGCCGCACCGGCGGCGAAGCTGAGCGCTGCCCGGCGGCCGAGCCGGACGGGCGGCGGCGCGACTGCGTCGACGGCTTGAAGGCACAAGGAGGAGACGACGGCGGCGACGGTGGCGACGACACACCGTGTGTACAACATGTTGTTTCCTAGACAACGACCTGACAAAAAAAGGAGGGGTGGACACACGCAGGCACACAATCGTGTGTGTGTGCGTGCGTGCAGTCCTCTGTGGCGACTTGGCATTGCCTACGTGGCCGTCGATGGCGCGTCTCGCATCCATTGGAGCTGCTGCCATAAACTGGCTGCCCACGTGCGCCCGCCGAGGCAGGCGCGACGGCGTCAAGGGATCGGCTATTTGCGGCCGGATGGTAGTTACGAGAACGGAGTGCTGATGAGTTGTGAGAGATGCGTTGGTTCTGCGCGAGGGCACTTGGGACGCAAGCAGGGGGTACCGTACGTCCCGTCTCCGACTCGTTGTCCATAGCCAGTCCATAGCTCAGCCTCGCGCGACAAGCCCTATCTCGCACTCATGGTTGACGATAGTTCATTGGATGAGTGTTCGCGAGCAGAAGTGCGTGTGCTGATTCTGGGCGTGGCACTATGACTTGGGTAGGCGTGTGCGGCCGCAGCCGCGCCCGTAAGCTCGAGTTGCTCCCGCGTTACGTTTTTCTTAAAAAATCTTTTAAAGAAAGCGCGCGACGGTGTACGCCTGTTGCTGGCTGCATATGCAGCCAGAGGCGTGCCACGGTGTGCCGCTCGCGAATCTGGAGGCGCCGTCCGCCGTCGAGGGTTTGGCGCTCCACCCCGACTTTGTCTCCGAGGATGAGGAGCGAGAGCTGCTGCGCACGGTAGACGCACAGCCTTGGGATTGCACGATCAGACGGCGCACCCAGCACTATGGCCGTCGCTTTGACTACCACAACAAGACGGTCGGCGACGAAGCGACGCCGCTGCCGGCGGAGATTCGCAGGCTAATCCTCGAGCGGGTGGATGTCCAGCCCGCGCTTCTGCCTTGGCGGCCCGCGGCAGGGCGCGAGGGCAGTCTCCAGTGCACTGTCAACGAGTATCCGCCTGGGGTCGGCATCGCGCCGCACATCGACACGCACTCCGCGTTTGAGGACGGCATCGCCTCGCTCAGTTTGGGCGGCGGCTGCGCCTTCCGCCTGCGGCGGGGGAGCGACGGCGCAGATCACTCGGTGTGGCTGCCGCCGCGCTGCCTCCTGGTCATGAGCGGCGCCGCGCGGTACGAGTGGCAGCACAGCATCAGCGGGCGCAAGTTCGACCGGGTGGAGCATAGGGAGAGCCCGGCGGGCTGGGAGTGGGTGCCGCGCGAGCGCCGCATCTCTGTGACGCTTCGGCGGGTGCTCGGCAGTGGTCGCACGTGCGCGTGCGCGTTCCCTCTCTTCTGTGACAGCAGGATTGGCGGCGCAGCAATCGCGCTGCCGACGCGCCTTGCGCCTGCTCCCGCCGCTCCCGCCGCCGCCGCTGCTGCTGCTGCTGCTGCTGCTGCTGCTGCTGCTGCTGCTGCTGCTGCCGCCACCACCACCGCCGCCGCTGCGGCCGGGACGGCAGCACGTGGCCCGGCTGCCTCCGAGGGCGCTGCGCTGGCGGACGGAACACATAGCCGAATCGCGCGTGACCACACAAGCGGGACACAGGGACCGCAGGGACGGGACAGTCAGCGTGGTGAGAGAGCGCGATTGGTCGTGCCGCGCACTGCAGTCGGCGCCCGGGAGAGAGGGGGGTGTAGTTGATGCGAGAGCGGATGCTTTTGGAGTGTCAATACGTGCTCCTCAGTTTAGTGTCCTTGGCTCGTTGGCTGCCGGTTGGAAGAGGCGAAGAGCGTTCCTCCTCTCGTGCACACGTTTCAGCGTTATCCGCCGACTGACCGCGAGACTATCGTGTTGTTCACACAATACTCGTGCTTGGCCAAGATTGTCGACGGGCCGCAGCTATCCCTGCGGCAAGGTGAGACCTCGCGGTCAGCAGGGCGGCATGGGCAGGCGATCGGAACGGCAGGCTCACCACTGATGACGGATGTCCTTTAGCGCCATCTTGCCGAGGACAAAGACGACCGCCACTATGAGCCAAGCCAGCGTCAATCGCTCGCATCGCCCCATCGCCCCATCCCCATGCCGTGCCTGTATCCGCTGAAGCTGCAATGCTCGCTCTTCGTCCTCGCTGTCATCGTCCAGATGCATGGTCGAGGAGGAGCGTGAAGGAGTGAGCGTTCCGAGCGCCGACCAGACGGCGCTGCCGGCTGCTCCGCCCTCTGCCACGCGCGAGCAACAAACCCGGTGCGCGCTGAGCACAGCTGAGACTGAACTCTGACAACACGGCGCGCCGCGCCGTGTTTCTTCTTTGCGTATTTGATGTTTTTTTTATTCGTTGCTTCCTTTCTTTCGGTTAACGACCGACAGGGGCTTGCAGGGTCGTCCGTTCTCCGGTGCCAAGCCTCAAGCCGATGATCGCCGCCAGCGAGGCCGCGAGTACGTCAGTGCCTGATCCGCTGGTCGCCTTCGCCCTTGCCGCCGCTGTCACCATGGCAATCGGGCATGCTGCCTCGGGGCGGGCAGCAACGCAGCAGACCAAGGATGCGGCCGCATTGCTCCCATCTGCCGCGTTGGCAAGCGTCTGGGTGACCTCCGATCAAGGCGAGGATGAGGAGGGCGAGTGCGTGCGAGATGTCACCGGCTGGTACGTCCGCGACAGCGTGGGTGCAATCATGTGGCGCACAGACTGCAGACCCCTGTTATCAAACGGGTGCTGGATCCGCGACAGCCGCCTGCTGGGACGCAACCTGGGATGTGTGCGGGGCAACGATCCACAGGACGTGACAGTGTGCGCAGAGTGGCGCGACAACTATGGATATGGTGACGGGCAGCAGACACCAGCGGCTTTCAGCGTATCGCCTCCCCCGCCGCCGCCGCCGCCATCGCCGCCACCCATCCCGCCGAGGCCCCCGCTGCCGCCGCCCTCCCCGGCGCCGGCTCCACCGCCACCCTCCTCGCCGACCGCGAGTCGATCCTCCACGGTGATTATTGCCGCAGTGGCGCTCGCGGTCCTGTGCGGTGTGGCGGCGGCCTTCGTGCGCTGCCGTTATGCTCGGACCAAGGCCGCCGAGGGCCCCAAGGGCGGGCCGCAGAGCCGAGCTCCAGTGCTGCAGCACAGCGCCGCTGCCGACCCGCCGCTGCTTTACGCCTCAGCGCCTGGCGCGGGCGCTGCTGATATGGCGCGAGTGGTGCTGCTGTATAGCGCTGCGGTGGCGGGGACGCCCATTCTGCATGTGGAGGGGTCGCCGACATTGGTGGTCACGGCGGAAGCGTATGCGGCGGGGGTCGCCACGGTGGTACAGGCGGAGCCAGTGGTGATGCACCCTGGAGGCTGACTGATGCTGTGGCGACATGCACGAGCTGCGCCGAATCGTGGCCCTGCGTGCTGCGAAGCGCGAGGCGGTTTTGGAGCCCGCGAGCATCGATCGGGAGGTGTCGCTCCGAGGGCCGAGCCGAGGGCGAGGGTGAAGGTGAGACTTCGAGCCCTGGGCGCGCAGCGAAGAAAATTTTGCGCTCTCGACAGCCTTTTCTAATAGGAAAATGGCCTCTACTCGGCGCCATACCGCTTGTCGGCGCACAGCGGAGTTCGCAAGCCGGACCTGCTGCCTTCCCTTCTACGTACACTTTCAGAATGGAGGCTCAAACGCAGCGCAGGGCTCAGACCAAGTGCAAGTCGATTTGTACCACAAAGTTGGTAGACAGTGCCAAAACCGCGGAACCGAAAATGGCGTTTAATTTCGCGCACCTGCTGTCCGCCGCCTGTGGCGGCGCTCCGCACCGCTTGAGGCGCCTGCGGCGCCCCTGGCGGCGCGCTGTCGCGGCGCGCCCCTCTGTGGTTTTCGTGGGGGGCTCGGCTCTCGTAAGTCTCGATTTGTACCGGATTTCGACGTTAGTGGCAAAACTGCGGAACCGAAAATGGCGTTTAATTTTGCGCACCTGCTGTCCGCCGCCTGCGGCGGCGCTCCGCGCCGCTTGGGGCGCCTGCGGCGCCCCCCTGGCAGGTGGCAGCAGTGTGTGTACGGCTGCGGGTGCGCCCGGTACACAACCGGCGCTCTATGGCGTGCTCTGGGGGAGCACGACTACGCAGTCGTGGCTTCCACACGCGAGAGAGTGGCTTCTATATTTACGAAAACATTGGGTGTCCCTAGTGCCGCATCCATAAGAAGTGACGTCACGGTTCCAGGAGCGCCTGGCGGCACAGCTTAGAGTGGCAGCCGAGCGCCGGCCACGACTATCGAGTCGCCGTCGCGGAGCTGAGGGCTGGCCGACGGATGGCGCGGTCTTCCTCCCAGCGCCACCCATCGGTCAGCCCTCAGATCGATCGATCGGCGCTCAAAGTCGCTTCAGATCCGAGAAAGCTGCTGGCGCCGCTGCCGATCCCAGCCGCGACGCCAGCAGCTTCCTCTGCTCTCCAATGCGCCGAGAAGCGACGCGGCGGTGCTCGGCTCGCCATGCACGATGACGGCTCCGCTGGGTGCTCGTCGGCCGGTCCGGTGGCACCCTATTCGCGCGGCACCTGCCGGCGTCCCGACGACAGCCTCGCGCCGCCGCTGATGGAGGGGCGGTCGGCGCCACTGCCGCCGCGCCGCCGGTGGGAGAGGCACTGGTGGTGGCCTGGGCGGCCCTCCGCCGCCGCTCGGCGCGCCCGGGCAGCGGTGGCAGCCTGCGCCGCCCCCGCTTCGAGCGGGCGCCCCCGCTTCGGGCCGCCCGCTCCCAGCGGGCGCCCTTCCCCGGTCCTCACTGGCTTGCCGGGGTCATGGGCCCCCCCCCTCTAGCGCCGCCGGAGGCGGCGTAGCTTCCGAGAAGCTCGGTCAGACACACGGGGGAGAGACGGACACCACATCGTTACGAATGACGCAAAAATACGTCACGGAGAGCGTGTAGAATGGCTAATTTCGCCGAGAGCGCGCCGCGGGCGCACCTGGTATACGGCCCCGGAATGAGTCACTGATTAAAGTTGGGCGCCTTTGGTCGAGGCTTCCCCGGTCCTCACTGGCTTGCCGGGGTCATGGGCCCCCCCCCTCTAGCGCCGCCGGAGGCGGCGTAGCTTCCGAGAAGCTCGGTCAGACACACGGGGGAGAGACGGACACCACATCGTTACGAATGACGCAAAAATACGTCACGGAGAGCGTGTAGAATGGCTAATTTCGCCGAGAGCGCGCCGCGGGCGCACCTGGTATACGGCCCCGGAATGAGTCACTGATTAAAGTTGGGCGCCTTTGGTCGAGGCTTCCCCGGTCCTCACTGGCTTGCCGGGGTCATGGGCCCCCCCCCTCTAGCGCCGCCGGAGGCGGCGTAGCTTCCGAGAAGCTCGGTCAGACACACGGGGGAGAGACGGACACCACATCGTTACGAATGACGCAAAAATACGTCACGGAGAGCGTGTAGAATGGCTAATTTCGCCGAGAGCGCGCCGCGGGCGCACCTGGTATACGTACGAATGACGCAAAAATACGTCACGGAGAGCGTGTAGAATGGCTAATTTCGCCGAGAGCGCGCCGCGGGCGCACCTGGTATACGGCCCCGGAATGAGTCACTGATTAAAGTTGGGCGCCTTTGGTCGAGGCTTCCCCGGTCCTCACTGGCTTGCCGGGGTCATGGGCCCCCCCCCTCTAGCGCCGCCGGAGGCGGCGTAGCTCACCTCCGCCCGCCCCATGACTCTCGAGGGCCCTATGGCCGTGCGCACCGCCGAGGCGCGTGCAGTCAGTGGGCTGCTGAGCACGGCATCCGCCCTCGAAGGCGCATGGCATTCGGCAGCGCGGCTTCCAGGCGTGAGGGAGAGTGGAGCAACAGAATTCACGGCCGGCTCGCTACTACCCTCAAGGAGGGAGATCGCGGCGGGTCCATGTCCAACTGTGCTGGAGGTGTTGTTGATTGAGTAGTACAAGAGGTAGTAGTCGAGAAAAGTAGTTCGAGAAAAGTAGTTCGAGAAAAGTAGTTCGAGAAAAGTAGTTCGAGAAAAGTAGTTCGAGAAAAGTAGTTCGAGAAGTAGGTCAAGAAAAAGAAATGTCGAGCAGCAGCATCTGCCGGGGGAGATTGCGGTGTCGTGAGCAAGCATACTGGAGGTAGGGCCGGGCTTATCTCGATGGCTGCAAAGGGCAACGGGCACGAAGGGTGTGTGTCTAAAGGGGTGCAAGCTAGAGAGGAAGGCGACAGTGTACCGTCAAGCTGTAGGCAAGGTCGAGGCCTCGACGGCTCAGGCTTCGGCGCCGTCAGGCTCCCGCTCCGCCGCCGGGAGGGTGATGGTTGCTTTGCCGGCAGGCCACTGGGCCAGCACCTCACGGCGGACCTGATCAGCTGTCCGCTGCGCTCTCCCGCCAGTAGGGCGCACCGGATGCGTGAGCGCATCACTGCGCGCGAGACGGTCGAGAATGCGCAAAGGGATGGGCTTCACGCCGATGCCGCCGAGGACCTCGTCACGGCTCACGCAAACCTCGCACTCCCTCGCCTTCTTGTTGTAGGTTGTGCTCCAGCTTGCAGCCTTCCGCTTCGATGAGCCGACCTGCAGCTGCGAGGGCCCAGGCAGGCTGAAGGAAGAGATGGAGGCGAGGGTGGCGGCAAGGGCGGCGGAGGGCACTGGCGGCTGTGGCGAAATTCGCCGGTCCTCCTTCCCCGGGACGGGTTCCCCGCTTCGAGCGGGGAGATGCGGCCTGGGATTCGCTTTCTGAAATGTCTGCCTCCAAAGGGGAAACGCCCAACCTGATCTCAGAATCACTCTACAGTATCGTGTCATTACTGAGTACAAGAACGCAAAGAAAAGTCCCTGGTTGCGCCGCGTCGACCTACGCCACGCGATCGAAGAACCGCACTCCCGCGGCGGACGACCGGGGACACGCGCGGGCGCATGCATGCGGTGTACTGTACAAGTAGATAAGTCGGCGCATGCAGAGAGAAAGTACGACTGTCGCTCTTCCGAGCCCGCGATGCCGTCTGCCGGGGCACAGGCCCTCACCGCATCGCCGCGCGGAGGCGCTGGTGCCGCTCAGGCGCGGTGACGCGCTCGTAGAGCAAGTCCGGCTCGGGGCGCGCGAGGCCGTGCATCAGCCCGGTGTACCACTGCCGCAGCTCGGCGCCCGTCGCGCGGCTGCGCTGCACGTCCGCCGCGCTCTGCACGCCGCCGACATGCACGACGACGAACCTGAGACGCAATCTCCTGCCTAGACACAGCCGAGATACAGCCGAGATACTACCGGCATGCACGACGGCGAACCTGCCCGCCAGGCCGAGCTCGCGCACCGCCGCCTGCGCCGCCGCCGCCTGCGCGCTCGAGCGGTCGAGGATGGGAGGCCCGCTGAGGCCGCCGCCGTAGCGCGCCGTGTAGCTGTCCAGGAGGGCGCGGTCGGCGGGAGGCAGCTCGAAGGACGCGTAGTCCTTTTGCGTGTTGAGCGCGACGACGCCGTCGATGCCGAGCCTCGAGAGGAATCGCACCGTCCCCTCTGCCTCCCCCAGGTCGCCGAGCTTGACGAGCAGCGGCACACGCCGCCCGCCGCCCCGCGCCGCGGCGTCGCGCTCGGCGACGATCGCCTCGAGGCGCTTCCGCAGCTCTGCCGTCGCGTCGCCGCCGTGGCCGCCGCCGTGGTGCACGTTCGGGCACGACTCGTTGATCTCGATGAAGTCGGCCAGCGGCAGGCAGAGGCGCACGCAGCGCAGCACCCCCTCCAGCTTGTCGGCGGGATCGCCATGCGCTGGATGACCCATGATCGACACTCCGACCGGGAATGATGCGCCGCCGTCGCCGGCAGGCCTGCCGTGCTCGGCGCGCTGCGGCGGCACGCCGTGCCGCTCCCGGAAAGCGGCGATGTTGCGGAGCGCCGGCTCCACACCCTTGGACGGGAGGCCGAGCGAGTTGAGCGCGCCACCCGACGAAGGCAGCGGCGTCCACGCGTTGCCGCGCCAGAGGCCGCCGAGGAAGTCGAACAGGTTGCCGGAGTGAGGGTCGCTGAGCACGGTGCCGACGACCGCGTAGCCCGCGCCGAGCGCATAGTTGAAGTCGAGCAGCGTGCCGTCCTTGTCGAGGCCCGCCGCGTTGCCCAGGTCGTTGCGGAAGCTCAGGCCCATTGCGCGGAGGCCGATCGACGGTGCCGACGGGAGGGCGCCGCAGCCGGCCGACGCAGCGAGCGCACCGAGGAAGGGCGTGCGAGATGCCGAGTACAGTGCCACAAACGCCTCTGCCGGAAGCAGAGCGGCCAGAGCGGGGCGGAGCTGCTCGTCAGCGCGCGCCAGCCCGAGCAGGACGGAGCGGCGGCCCTCGTCGCCGCCCTGCGCCGCATAGGCGCCGGCCGCGAGGACGCCACCGGCGGCGCACGCGGAGGCGGTGCGACGAAGCATATATGCGCGCCTCGCCGTGGTGTCCTGCGGCGCAGAGACCTCCCCAGACTCATCACACCAGACATCACAGCGAGAGCCTCGGTTTGGGTGGTGGGCGGGGGGTGATGAGGCTCGGTTTGTGGCAGTTATTGACTGTTATTGAGTTGTTATCGGTCTGTCTCCTACATGTACCTCTCGCTCCATTTGCACAGCTCCGCGGTCTGCCCAACTTGAGAATCGTGCTTTTTGAGATTTTTTTTGAGAGCGCCTTCGTTGTTAATAGTACAAACCCAATGATTTTTAGCAATACCAAACAACTCTAACACTCACACGTCATTTGGGGCCTGGAGCCCTGTTCACGCGCGCGCGAGACGTGCAGACAGGGTTGCCAGTGTGTTTGTTGTTGCTTTTTGTGAGGTTGTTTGTTCTCTTGTTTCGTGTTAGGTTGGGTTGTGCTTGGACGCCTTCTTGTGGCTCTCGTCGAGAGCGTTTTGCGTCCCGGCGGGTTGAGAGAAGATGTGTCGTCTGATGTGTCACTGTGTACGAGCAGGCGGACATCGCTTCCAGGGAGGGGGGCGCGCTTCTCTGCACGCCCCACCCCCCCCACCCTTCGCGCCGACGACCTAACCTCACTCGGAACAACCTCACCCAAACAACCCAACCTAACACGAAACAACCTCACCCAAAAAGCACGATTCTCAAGTTGGGCCCTCGGTCTGTTATTTGGCCTGTTAGTGAGTGTTATAGGTCAGGCCGGGTGGCAGTTATTGACCTAAAGAAAGAAAGAAAACAGACAACCCAAGGGAGGGATGGGAGGACGGCACGCCGCCACCACACAGGAATTTTAAGGAGAGGAGTGTGGTGCTAGCCGTCGCCCACCCACCCTAACCCTTGGGAGTCTGCCTCTTCCTATCTCTCTTCGCAGTCCCTCGCCGATTCTCGCTGCAACCTTCATGCCACCTCGCGGTCGTCCCACTCTCGTCGGTCTCTCTCTTGTCGCTTCTTCCTCTGTCGCGTCGCTCTCCTCTGCCTCGTCCTGCGACGGCGCCGCCGCCTGCCGATCCCTCGCTCTCGCTGCTTCTCCCGCCTTTCGGCGCAACTCTGCCCTCCTCGCGGCATATTTTGGCCCCTCGAGTTTATCGAGCTCTCCTCGCGCAAGGACGGCTCTTCTGACACCCACTCCGTTCATTTGCCGCCAAGTCATATCGTTGCTCAGGTCCACTCTCTCTTCGGACACTTGTACCTCCACAGATGACGCTGGCGCTGGGGTCCCCTTCGGGTGCATCGTGACAGCTGACGGCGGGATTTCCACTGGCTCGTCCTCCTCAGAGTCGTCTTCCCCGGCTTCCCCCCGTTCGGCTCTACGTTCAGCACGTTCAGCGTGGCTCACCCTCCATGCCGTGAACAGGCGCTTTATCCACCCTATATTCTTCTCTCGTTCCTCTGCCCTTGTGCCTTGCCCTTGGTCTTGTCGTTGTTTCGCACCCATGTCTGTATGGCAATCGAGGCTGCCTTCCCCACTACCTGTAGTTCTCTCGTCACCTCTCCTGCGAGCTCCCCTCTCTTTCTTTCGGGTATGGAGTCTGTGAGTGCGGGCACCCGACGCCTGCTGCAGCTGCTCGACTGTGCCGTCTGCTTCACCTGCACACATGCACTGATCGCTGCCGACGCGCTGCAGTCATGGAGCATCTAGGGGGGGAGGTAGCAGGGAAGTGCTGCAGCTGTGACGTATGCCTTGCGGCAGACGTGATGGCTACGAGCGGCACGAGTGCCGCGGCAGCGCGCCGTCCGGAGGAGCCAGCCCTAGAGGTAGCACTCGCTACGGCAGCAAATGCAGCACCCGCCGTGGGCGCCGCACTGCTTACGCGCGGATACACTGTGGTCACCGCCGGCGCCGAAGAAGACGAAGATGGTGCCGGCAACGGAGACGAAACACTGAATCCGATCCAAATCATACTCTCGAGCGTCAATGACTACGCGATGCAGAACCTGAAAGGGCCAACGTTGACGCAAGTGATAGACAAAAGCGGATTCAGATGTGAGCGGGGAACCTTCTCCAATCGGGACGCGCATGCAGCGCTAGTGCTGACTTTGCTTGCGGACAAGTGGATGGAGCTACACTTGGAGGCTGCCACAGGGGGGGGGACTACAGGCCGCCTCACCGTACCTGCAAACCGTCTCGACGACGCCACCTACGGGAATCCGTGCATTGCTGTACGTCTTGCGCTAGACTGGGCACCGAATGCTCAAAGCTCGAAAACTCGCACGCGCGCGCTCCTGTGCGAGCTGGAGCGAGCCGTCACCGCCTCCGAAGTTCACGCCCATGCGGCGATGCGCACACTCGGAGAGCTCCTAGATGCAGAAGGATGCGAGGCCGAATCTCGGCTACCTCCGTGGACGCGAGACTGGTTGGCCCGGCGCGGCAGGGCAGACACGCCTACGAATGCGGGCACGAGTTCGGGAGGAGGAAGCACCGCAAAGCGCAGCGCGGCGGAGGCCGCAGCCGGCACGGGCAGCCCTCGTCCTTCCACCTCGCAGCCGCAGCAGCAGCGTCTAGTCGCCACGCCTGGCGGCACGCACAACCTCTCGGTGAAAAAACCGGAGTGCGCCAACACCGCGGAGCGCCCGACAAAAAGTCGGCTCACCGCACAGCTATCGCCGCGCCCGGATATGGCTGAATGGGCCATGCCCATGGACACCACACGCCGAGTGACGCCGAGTGACACGTCGTACTCCTCTTCGGTGAGCGCTCCAAAACTAGACCCCATTGCCTTTAAGGAGGCTGCCCTCGCGCGTCTCAGGAATGTGGCTGTGTCTTCTGAGTCAGGCGCCGCCCGTTCGACTCTTGCTGTCGCCCTCGCCGTGTGTTTGTCAAGCTTCCGCATGAAGTAACGCGCCTCTTCCTTATTTCCAGCGCAGCTGCCGCTCAGTATGGCGCCAACGACGCCTGTGGTGGCTCACTGTCTTCTTGTTTCCAGTCGTCCCAGTCTCTCAGTTCTCCGATTCTCCTCCTTGCCTCGCGCGCCTCTTTTGTGGCCTCATCCCTAGCCGCCTTGCACGCTCTGCATCCCCAGAACGCACTCCTCGTGGCGGGGCCCCTCATTCCCCGCTTCTTTTCCCTTCTAGAATACGCCTGTGGTGTGCCCCGTGTGGCAGCCCGACCTGTTGTCTCACCCTGGCCCCCAAGATCGTTTTGGTCGGCGGCACGGCCCTCCACCAGTCGCAGGAGGTGCGCACCTCCCAAAGGAAGCACCAGATGCTCCCTCAGCCCACGCAGGTCGCAGCTTTGCGCAGCGCAGCGCACGGGCCACGCCGCGCAAAGCCGACCCTCAGTCTGCCCGAGAGGCTGTCTCCTGTCTGCGGAAGCGAAGGCCTGGCAAGCGCGCGCCCGCCTCCTCCGCGGCCATGCCGCCTCCGCCCGGGCGAGCGAGCAACAAAGAGTGGAGCTGGAGGCGGATCGCCATACTCGGTCTCTTTAAAGCGTGAATTCTCTGAGAGTTGTTTTGTTTAAAAACTCTGCACCAAAAGCCGCGAACGAGCGAGGCACGGTCCTCGGTCGCTCTCGCCGGGACAGTGCGGCGGCCAGGAGGACAAGATCAACGAGAAGGGGGGGGGGGGGGGGCAAAACGGGAAAGGTCTATGGATCTGCAATGCACATCCAGGCTCAAACCCCAGGCTGTGTGGGCCTGGGACAAGGGCAGGAAGGGGGGGGGGGGGGGGTTTTTCTTTGGACATCCCGCCCAAAATTAAAACCCCGGGTGTTTGGGCCTGGGCAAAAAAGGCAGGGGGGGGGGGGGGGCAAAAAGGCCAAAGGGGGAAACCTGGCCCCCCCCCTTTTGAAAAAAAAATCCGCCCACCGGATTTTGGAAAAAAAAAAAATCCCTCAAGCCCCCCCCCAGGGGGGGGGCCCCCCCCCTCGGGAACCCAAGGTTTTTGGTTAAAAAAAAAAAAGCCCAATGGGGTCCCCCCCAAAGGAAAAAAAAAAAATTTGCCAAACCCCATTTCCTTTGTTTTTACCGGTTTTTTAACCCGGCCAAAAACTTTGTGGGGGGGAATTTTTACTAAAAACCCCCCCCCAAAAAAAAAAAACCCCCCCTTTTCTTTTTTCCCCCGGTCGGCCCCCAAAAATAAAATTGCCCCCAAAAAAACAAAAAGGCCCCAAAATTAAATTTTCCCCCCGGGCCCTAAACCCTTTTAGGTTCCCCCCCCCCCCGGCCCTTGAAAAAAAAATATTTTAAAAAC